CAGCGAATTTTATACTTTCAATTCGTAAGCATTTTATCACCTATATATATATGTGTGTGTGTGTATTTGTTTGTGTTTAATAAAGATGTGACTATTTGTCTGAACAGACAAATATATACTGGTGCAAATGAATATGGGTATGTATTTCCAACGGAACAACTGGTGTAGACTACTATATATATTTTTGCTCAATTCATAAATTGTTTTTTGAGCTGAATTTCAACTTTAATAATCTTCTCAATACGTACTTGGGGACGACTATAATTCTTTGTGGGCCATACTCTATCTGGAACTTCGACATTTGCATAACTGACCCAAATTAAAACGACGTCATTGCTTATTTTTTGTTTACTTGTACGTATGCAAAAATCGGCCCCCCGACTGATAGCAGTTTTGCTGTACGCAGATGCTAGGAATCGCGATGATCGATTAAAACCTGGTCGGTTACTATACGTGGTGAAATACAAGCTCATTTGTTTCGGGACAAGCACTCATCATACTAACTGCCACGAGTATAACCACAAAGTATATTTTGCATGTACACATGTTTCATTCGCGAATAAAATAAGTGCCAATATATATCTGTATTCCAAACTTACACCTCAAAATAATCTAGATAAGATCAAAGAGCTGGATATATCGGAAATATCCGTCTATTTTCAACCAATACAGATTCAGATATTTATTTCCATCAGGCAAGAATCAATATAAAGCAATGATACACGTGAAATAGAACAAAAAACATTGATTCTTAGCAGTTGATGAGGGGTCGAAAAGACCCAAGAGAGCCATCCAGACAGCGACACCTAGATGTTGAATTACAGCAGAAAATATAAATAAAGAAATAACTTTTGAAGGAATTAACTTTACAACTTACAATAATAAACAATAATAGATTCGAAATAAAATACGGAAATGTGCCATAAGGTTTTATAGCGTACCGAACTACCGATATCGACAAAATAGCTTTTGGCGCCATTGCTGCTTACAATAAATAATATACACTGTCACTAGAATTGGGCAAAGACTGCAACTTTCAGAACTTAACTGCTTAAGATATTCACATGAAGATAGATAATCATTTGTAGCAAGACTTCAACAAGAAAGAATTATAAATAAATGCCTTCCTCCGCGGAAAGGTCTAGTCGTTGTTGTTTGAATTGAGAGAAACGTTTGACAATTGATTACTAGCAAAATATCAACTTTATTGCATGCTTGTCCATTGTCAAACATTTCAGAATTGGAGAAATCAGAATCAGATTGCGAATTGAACTATCCGGTTGCTCTTTCGATATTGCATGTAAACCAGGTATAAAGAATACCGCACCCGACACTCTATCGAGAATTAGATGTGATCTTCCCTCTACTATAATGTCATGGATGGAAGACGTTGGAAGAACAGTCCTGAATTGTTGTCTATTCAGAGAGATAATAACCGAATACTATCGACCAGAAGCAGGAATTTGACGAGTTTACAAGATTTTCATTCGCTATTTTAACACCTAATGTTTTGGCTGCCAGTGTCGTAAAGGATCTAGCTGCATTGTTTGTTGTAGGCCTAACCTATTTGGAATGCCGGCCCTCGCCCGGGAAAATATATCGCGAATTGTAGCTCAAGATAATAAAAATTAGTAATTATTCAGTTTGGGTTAGGGATGCAGATTGCACTAGAAATTAAAATTTTAAATCATTTAAAACCTGGCATAATAGTTTTCTATAACATTGGAAAGCATAAGAAGGGTGCTAGGAGAAGGGCATACCCATTAAATAGTTGACTTTCTTAGCATTGACGATTTTTCAATTTGAAAACGGACGTCAGCCATTGGAACAATTTATTTTATTGAGACATAAAGAAAATTAACTTGATAAATTATCAATTTCCCCATATATCACCTACTCAGGTACAGTCTGAAGTCTACCGCGTTAGGGTAAGGCACATATTAAGGATTCACACACTTATCCCGGAGCTACGGTAGAAAGCCGATTGGACAGCATAATCATTTGGCAAACCCCAGCCTCTCGTCCGATATTCAGTCAATGTCGGGTATGGGATTAGTTAGCCAGTTGTTTTGTGTTCAAATGCACAAAATTGCATGCACGGTAGTGGAGGAAATCAGGATTCGAACCCGAGAACCCACGCATGGTATTCTCAGGTGCTGTAGGTGGCAAGCGTATTCTTTTTGGTTACGATGCGCCACACCGCTCGTGTATTGCAAATGCCGTAAATGCTTTTAACGCCCGGTCTTGATTAAGGGCCCGTTTGAATAGCCGCCCGTGTGAACAGGACATGAAAATAAATAAGGGCCGGTGCTTGAATACCCGCCCGGTGTAAAAGTTTTTTGCGGATTTGTACCTGCGGTGCGTAGAAAAAGTCAAAATTTTCATTATTCTCGTTTAAATCATACTTGAGAACTGGAAATGACAATATACGGTATTAATTATTGTAACGATCGATCTTATCCACCGGTATTTTTGTGTGTAATTTTACTTTAAAAATAACAAGCGCCCCTGCTTGAATAAGGGCCGGTTTGAATAAGGGCCCGGTTAGTGAGTATGTTTAAAAAAATAAGCGCCCGGGCTATTAAACGAGCAAATACGGTAAGCTGGATTCGAAATAAACTCTTCAGCTCTTTATGAATCGCGTTTTCATCCCTCATTTCCATATTGCTTGGGGATTTCAAGCGATTAAGTCCAATGTTTTATAGCTCTATCTGTGCGACTAAAGGAATTTAGGTTATAGCACTTTGCTGAGAGCGCAACCATTTTTCACGTACTGACGTTGCGTGTGACGTAATTTTCAAACAAAGGGAAATTTGTGTGGTTGGTAATCGATCGGTAGATGGAGGTAGATTACCGTTCCCTCCTTAGCTTTTCCAAAGTTTTGTCATCAGCGAATTCGAACCTGTTGTTTAAGGAACGACTTGCTATGTGTTTGCCCATGCGATCTGTGCAGTGCTGCAAGCATACGGTACGGTACGGTACCGGTATGTTCCTGTATTTGCTGTGCGATATCTTGTGATCTGTTATTATCAGTGTCAGAGTGTACCGGTATAGGCATCACAATTTCTGAGTTTCAGAGTTTTGCCTATTTTTCTGAACGTCTCCCCAGTTTTTCAAAATTCTGAATTAGGTCATGTCTAACATGAACAAGTTCATAAAAAATCTCGATCGAATTTATCTGAAGTTCATAGGAATTGAATTTATTAGTCTAATGCAGAATATTTGAGAAAGGTGTTAAGTGGTTTAGCTGTGATCTTTACTTTTGAAGTACCATACCGCTGTACCGCAGGCTACAGGCTATATAAACTGAAATGATCAAAACCAAATATTTTACTCTTTAGAATACATTTCGAGAAACTATTTTGGGATATGAAATAACGAATACTGTAGCCTACATTCTAAATTCTGAAATTGGCAGATTGCTGGATTTGGGGCAATTTTATGTGGAAAATTACATAAATCACAGTATCTTCATGTTAATCATATCTTAAATGATATAAATGTAAAGGGCATTGTTTTTCTTATGTTGTTTTCTTACTAGTATAGATATCGTACATTTTGATCTACTTGTCCGTCGACTCAAAATCTCTATTTTTCAAATATAAATTTACTGAATTTGAAATGTCTGACTGTAGATATAACGAAAAACAATGACTTGTGTAATGAGATTTTTGCGAAATAAGATTTTGTGAGAATGTATTTTTGCTAAAATGTTATTTTATTCAAAATACGTTTTCACAAAACTACATTGTTGCATGGATCATTTTTGCAAAATATAGCCATGTAAAAAGTTTTTGTGCAGAAGATACCAAGCTAACAAATAACTAGTGACTTAGCATGAATAATAATTGAGTGAGGACCTAGATCAGGGTCGGCCAACCTTTTTGGCCGACGGGCCACATTTTGTTCACTAATAATTACGCGGGCCACTTAACATAGTAATTATGTTCTAGTTTTGCTACACTGACTAAAAGTTAATGAAAAAACAAACAAAATCCTCGCACCGAACTTTCTCAATAATAAGAACAATAAAAAAAAGAAGATACAGTAAAGTCAACAAAGTTTTTTTACTTACTTTTACTTTCTAGTTTGGCACTGTTTTTCGCTAACAAGTTTGTCAATATTCGCTGAAATGGACGATGTGGCAATGCGAAGCGAATTTTCAATATGACTGTCAGAAATTAGTGATCTCACAGGGGATTTGACATGGTTCATCTGTGAAAAAACTTGCTTGTACAAGTAAGTGCTGCCAAATAATGAGGTCATCAAAACTGCCATTCTGGCCAAGTGTATAAGCGACTATTTCTGTATCGATATCTCTCAGTTGGTTTCGATTCCAAATGGCACTCATGGCTCGTTTGAAAGGGCTAGCAGAGCGCATTTCAGGAAAATGAACAAATTGTTTGTATCAAAACTTTATATTAATTATTATGCAAAAAATCGAAGTTTTACTCATTTTTTTTTATCAAATTCCGAAAATACAGCGCGGGCCACTCAAAACTCCTCGGCGGGCCACGGGTTGGACGACCCTGACCTAGATTGTCCAGTTACTGAGTTATGCAACAATTTGCAAGTCTGCAAGTGCAGTTTTAAGTATTTTGTGGCGTCTGAAGCTGCCGCAAAACCATGGCGGGATTTCCAAACCATGGCCGCTATGACCAAACCACGGCGACTGACTTTTTAGCTGCCACAAACCAAGGTCGTGATGCCGGTACCACGGCAGCAAATTGAAAACTAATGGCGGGTAAAATTTTTCACATTTTTCCTATGAATACAGTTTTGATGTGTTTGGGGTTAGGTTTCAGGTTTAAGTAGATATAATTCTGTGTGCTAAACTAAAATCTGGCAGATGACTTTGTGAATATACCTGTGAATATAATACTGATTACTGAAGAGCGCCATGAAACCATGGTAAAAGATGCCATGGTTCGTTCATGGCACGATTTGGTTGCAATGTTCAAGAATAAAATAGTTTTTAATTTGAATTTCTTGCATTTTATGATAAATTGCAGGAAAGTGCTTTGTTTAGGGTAGCTTATATCTCTGTATCGGGTTTCAGTTAAAACATGAGAGGAATATAGCAGATTTCCATATATTTTCACATTGGGATAAAATACCTTCAGATATATGAATGCTTCTCAAAGAAACTTATGTACTCGGAAACACCGCTATGAGTATGAATCCTAACAACTTAAATCCAAACATGGAAATTCCAAAAATACCGTTGATGACATTGGCAGGAATCACAAGTTTGACAGATGGTGAGTTGTTTCTATGTGCAGTACGGCACAACTATCCCATTCGATGAAAAGCCCCCACATTGAATGACATCGATTATAATAGTGAGTACAAATCCCTCCGTTACGTGACAGTTTGGGACTCCGCATTGGTATAAATCGGCTAAACAGCTTTTTGCACAATAAACTAAAGAAAGTGCAAACTAGAAATATTGACATTAGATTGCTCGGAAAAAATAATGCGATTTACTGGAAGAAAAAAAATGTACCATAGCATTCAAGAGTTCTCAGCAAGAAACGCAATTTTGGTCTTGTGCCACCCCAATTAATTTAGATTATTTCCGAGATAAGCATGGCGCAATCTGACGCAATTCCCGTATTGCCAGATGCCCTCATTTCAGAGACAAATGTTTTTTTTTTCTGATTGAATCAAATGTCAGGACATCTTGGAATTAGAGAACTGTGCCTGACTTGATAAATTCAATGCTTTTAAAGATTTATGTTAACTAGGCATCTGTGGCATGGATAAATATTAGATAATGAAATCCTGTTTTTCATTTGGGCTCATTAATAATAGTTAATTCAAATCTTGCCATTTCGAAATAGTTTTTTTTTTATCTTCCTAGTATTAAATTCAATTAAATTTCAGTTCTACATGAGTTGCCACTGCCTGGTCCACATCCAGATTCTCTGGAATACCCTCTGTTTGCTTATTCGACTATTCCTATGCCCGGAATCAAGAGACTGATAAATAACACAGACAAAAACAATGTTTCAAACGTCATAGATGCACTTTCACAGACAAATACAGAAGACATGTAAGTTGACGTAATTGTTTCAAATGTTTGGTCACTTCTACAATTTGCTGTGTCAATATGAAATAAATGAAGGCTCATATAATTATATTTGTTTATACAGTCATGATAACATGAGAATTGTAATAGTTCCATTAGTCAGAGAATTTCTGCTAGGTAAACAGGTAACAATTTTTTAAAATTTGAAATATTGAATTTACCGTAGTTACTGTTTTTCTGTGCAGAAGCATATTTTTTTCTTATAAAATCACGATTTTTCTGAATGTTATTCATTTCGATTGTCAAATAATAATATTTCAATATACTCTGTAACATTTTTTAGTCAACCATTTTTTTGCATAATTTTCAAGTTGTTCATCTTGTACTTTTTTTTATAGAATTCTAAAAGATCCATCTCAAGATACTGATTGCTTAGATGGCCTTAATGTACCACCTTTGTTGCAAGCCATCTTAACCAAGAAACCAGATGTTTTTTATAGAAGACGGGTAAACTTCTTTTTGCATGAATGTCCCTAGCGAGATTTTTAGATCATACCCAATTAGCTCTTTTGACTCAGCATCATAAAAATGCCTTATCGAAACTCAGTTGCTATTCCATCACCCAGGCTGTGGATTTTGTTCCAAAAATATTCCATATAAAGGAGTCACCATTGTTTTATTACAAATTTGCAAATTCAAATATTTATGTCATTTATTCCTTAATTACCAGGAATCACCACAGAAAGGTCTTTTATATGACATGTAGTGATAAGGTTAAATTGTTAGTAGGTATACTTTTTTGACTCCTCTCTACAACCTGGTGTTTTTATATCTAGTAATGAAAGGCCTAGTGGCTGGAGCTTTATTGAACTTAAATATGATGGTGTCCCAGATCCAAGTTCAAATTCCATACCCTACATCTTACTCAAGAAAAATGCTTTGATTGTCCCTTTTTGTATACTTTTTATCAATAAAAGGCATGGATGAATAGGCTATACAGTATATACCGATAACTGTACTTTTTTGCCTTTTCAACATTGACTTTGTGAAATTTGCAATGCTCTGTTTTTTTTCAGACTTTCGTGAATGATGTTGGAGGAAATATCAAGCATAGCAGTCCTGCACAAGCTGCTACTCCACAGAGCCCTGCAATAAGGTATGAGTCTAGGGCTGTCCAAAATCGAATAATTTTTTTATTCGAATCGAATATTTTCGCGGAATCGAACCGAATAAGCGAATATTATTGCGCAATATTAAATCTGTCTCTATTATACAATAAACGCATGCCCTTCGATGTTGTGGTAACGTATGTGCAGTTACATCTTACTTACTGCTAGTATTTTGCAATACAATGTTTTCAGATTTATGAAAGGAGATCACACGCTTGTATGAACTGGTCAAAAAAATTAGAGAACTGCAAAATTTGGGTCTCAAAAACTGTTGGAGTGTTAAGAGTAAAAATTGCACTATTCAAAAATTGCAATCTCAATTTTGATGGATTCAGTTTCAATAGGACATGTAAAGCCTGGAGATGCTATTTTAAACCTATTCACTAGTCTTATGTTTTTTTGTGTGAATTTCAGCAAAATAATAACAACCATCAATATAGATGAAACTGTTGCTCAAGTTCAAAATTGCATTTAAAGGTGGTTTCCGCTTTAGTACCGGTACCTAATTTTAGCGATTCGAAAATTAGCCGAAAAAATGATTCGAAGAATTTGCGATTCGATTTCGAATATTTGGTTCGCTTGGACAGCCCTAGGTATGACCCATAGTATTACTAGTTTATAATTCTGGGAATTGATGCAAATAATTCATTATATCTATTTCACACAAAATTTTTATTTTGTTATGTTTCACCTACAATTTACGTCCACTACAATTTACTTCTTTACCATTTTTTTGTCCACGAATCCACAATCATACTTATGCTGAAATGATATAGCCTATATAAAATTTTCTAGCACTACAAAAATTGCTTGTCATGAATCTGAGAATTCGTTTTGTTTTGTACATGTATACATATATATATGTTTAGTGCATATATGCTGGCTAGGATATAATTTTGATTGGATTTCTTGAAGTTCTTGGAATTGAGCGAATTATAAAGTGTTTTCAAGTTTAATAATTATTGGAATGGTATTTATATTGTTTATTTATAGCTTTCATTGTAATACACAGGAATGTTTGAATTTTTCTGTTTTTTTATATTGTATAATGATTTGGATTTTTTTTCCATCCGCTTTGATGAAAAGTCGATTTATTTTTTGATTTATTTTTTATGTAAATTAGTTAAAGCCAATTTTCTAACTACTGATACTCTAAATCTGTTCTCAGTTACACAGGTTTGCCTATGTATCAAGCAAGTCCAGCTGAATGTGCTTCTGAAATTTCCTCATCACAGTTCAAAACAGGTCAGAATTAATAATTGTTTCAGAATAGACCCTTTCTTTTGCTGAGCCTAGGTATAGTATATAATTGACTGTCAATATCTTGAAAAAATTAGTAGGAAATGGATATTTAATTATTGTGTTACCCATATGTATTTGATCAGTGATTTTTTACCGTTATTCGAGATGGTAAGGGCACGTGGATTACCCCAGAAATTTCTGCATATCTATTGCTGCTTGGACATTGCTTGCTATATTCTTGTCGAAAGATCATTTCATTTTTACAATTTTTAAATTTTCCTAGCAAAACTGTCCACCAACTTGAGAAACATTGTTGAATTAACTTACCGGTAGTTTTTTCAACAGGTGTAATTTTATCTTTCCTTGATATTATTAACGATTTGTCCTCATTGAGACTCTTATTTATTATGGTATACCACTTGTATTTGTTGTATTTTTATTTGCTTCAAATGTGCTATTTAGATCCCAATCAGGTCAACAGGTCTCAAATTCCTCATTCCACATGCTCTGAAAATCGAGATACACCTTCATCCTCTGTAAGTTCATTATTTAGTTTGCATCTATTTTTAAATTTTCAGTATAATATAAAGTATTTTTTTATACAATTTGTTCCTCTTATTTTAAATACTTGTCGGACTTCATTTTAATATGAAGTTTATTCTATTTCTTATCAATATGGCAGTCAGTTTATATTGGACCTCGATATTTGGAACATTTTTTGCAGAAAAATGAATTTACTGTTGAGAATCCAACTAATCAAGTGCAAGAAGAAAATCCCAAGATCTGTTTAAAAATAAGGTGAGAAAACCACATTGTTTTTCAGTAGTTAGTTTTCAGTAGCTGTTCATCCTCGAAAACATTATTATTGTAGCCTGTGAGCACTCCCAGAGTGTGTGAACCCCGTTACGAAGAGGTTTTCTTTACTTTAGTTCTATTAATAAGAGTTCGGGGACTGTCTGTGTTAACTGAGGATCAGGTGACAAAAATATTTCAGCTTGCATATTAATACTTTTACATTTCACAGTCAATTTCAAATAATCTTATAATTGTTGCTTATATTTCTACACAGCTCCCCTGTTTATGTAAATTTTTTCAATAAAAATTAATTTTTTTTTCCTATATTAGGAAGAAAAAGAAGAATAACAAAGACAAGGAACAGCCAAAATCATCGGAGATGAAATCCTCTAATGGAAGTATTGATTTAACAACGAACGATGTTTGCTATGATATTGTTAGTAGTCCTTCAAAACAACCTGGTTTATCATCACCAGGATCACTCAAACTTAAATTATCAAGGATAAAAACAGAACCTGGTACAAATTCTGATTTTCCTGCTTTCGAAGTTGCTGATTCCAACAAGACACCAGAAAGTTTGAATAATCAACAACAACCTCAAGTTCAAAGTTCAAATGACACTCTACAAAGATCAGGTGCTCCCATGATAAACCAAACAAGATTAGCACCAGCACCTTCATACAGACCTCCATTATCAAACAATTCAAGTTCTAATGCCATGAGCCAACATTCTTCACAAAATAATACTACGCCACCACAATATCCCAATGTTGCACTGCCTTTTTCAAGTCCTCCAGCTGCTCGATCAACAGATTCTTACCTGCCGTTTGCACGGCCTCCATCTTTTGCTAATACAGACTTGAATGTCAACACTCGAGCAGGTCCTCCTCATTCACATCAGCGTCAACCTATGCCTCCACCTCCACCTTATGCATCGCCGCACGCAAAGAATATCACTCCAGAACAACTTGCCAATATGGCATCCAATTTCTCACCATCACCAGTTTCTCTTAGTCAGCATAAGCAGAGACAGGTTTGTAGTGTTTTATATTAATGTAGTGATCATGGTTAACATGTTTATCTAATATAGCAACGTGAAAGTTAATTTTTCAAAGTAGAAACTTTCGTGGTAAGTGGTATTGACCATTATTAGAAAATGTAAAACATCTGTGCTGTTATAGTCGAATCAAATATACAAATACGAAAATATTTTCTGTATTGTTCATAATTTTGTTGGTGTTACTTTTCAAATCATATTATTTTGAAAATATTTTATACTTTTTACTTATTTGAAGTGATGATATTCGGCACATGTATGGGAAAATAGACATACGCGTATATTCGAGGATATATGGTAATACAAATCACCCAACTATCATTGCACTTTATACTTCTAATAGAAGGATCAAGACTTCGATTTAAGTAAAGCTTCCTAATGACCTGAAGCTCACATTATTATTGTATACTTTATTCCATTTTGTAGAATCGAAGCAATAGTGAATCATCTGGTAAAACTCCTTCATCTAAGCCTAGGAAGAAGGGTAAGTAACTACTTGTGCTTTATTCTCCACCGAAAGATTTAGATCAGGGGTCGGCCCGCATGACGCTTCACTGATGACTTGCAACCCTTAATTTTGGCCCGCGAGCAACAAAAGGTTGCCGACCCTTGATTCAGATGCTTATTTATTGGTTGTTATGATATTGCACCAAGTATGATATTGTATGTTAGTAGTGTTATAGGAATGCTTTAATTCATTATGGTAATTACAGGATCTGATTAGATTTTCAGAAATTAATCAAATGTATAACGACAAGAGCATGAGGGTAATTTTTGACAGAAGAGGTCATGGCTGTTTAGTAGGTTAAAGTGAGGGAGATGCTTGTAGAATATATTAATGAAAAAACAAATTAGAATCCTTTATATTAGAGGTCTCACCCATTTATGGAAATAGTTTATTCATTCTGTAATATAGATATGGATGGATGTTTTTTTTTATTTGAATTATTACTTATCGATCTTTAGATCGGTAAGTATGTTGATAGGTGTTTGTCTGTCTGTTTGTATGTTAGATGCACGCGATATCTCACGAAGGCGTGGTTGAATCTGCTCCACATTTTGCATGTGCATTCATCTCGGACCAGAAACCTATTGATTTTGGATGAATTATGTCTTATAATTAGCGAGTTATTAATTAATTAGTGATGGGACACGCGGTGTCACTATAGAGTCATGAATCGAAACCGCAGTTTCGATCGATAAGTCTTTGGTCTCTGACTGATATTCTCGTTTTGAATTTGTTGATTAGCACTTTGCACTAATTACCTTGCTGTTGATGTTGTGCAGGTAGATGTTTTATTATTGCAGCACAATGAAGCTAGATAGAATATTGTCTGTTTGTTTGTTGGATGCACGCGATATCTCACGAAGGCGTGGTTGAATTCTGCTCCAAATTTTGCATGTGCATTCATCATATCTCGGAACAGAAGCCTATTGATTTTGGATGAATTATGTCGTATAATTAGCGAGTTATTAATTAATTAGTGATGGGACACACGGTGTCACTATAAGGTCATGAACCGAAACCGCAGTTTCGATCGATAAGTCTTCGGTCTCCGACCGATATTCTCGTTTTGAATTTGTTGATTAGCACTTTGCACTAATTACCTTGCTGTTGATGTTTTGCAAGTAGATGTTTTATTATTGCAGCACAATGAAGCTAGATAGAATATTGTCTGTTTGTCTGTTAGATGCACGTGATATCTCACGAAGGCGTGGTTGAATCTGCTCCAAATTTTGCATGTGCATTCATATCTCGGACCAGAAGCCTATTGATTTTGGATGAATTATGTCATATAATTAGCGAGTTATTAATTAATTAGTGATGGAACACGCGGTGTCACTATAGAGTCATGAATCGAAACCGCAGATTCGATCGATAAATCTTCGGTCTCCGACCGATATTCTCGTTTTGAATTTGTTGATTAGCACTTTGCACTAATTACCTTGCTGTTGATGTTTTGCAGGTAGATGTTTTATTATTGCAGCACAATGAAGCTAGATAGAATATTTAAAAAGGAAGACAGCATTTTATGAAATTTCAAAAAAGTTTGCAATCTTTTCAGTTAATTTTAGTAAAATGGAGTTAAAAGTTTACAATTTCTGTATTTTGTAGTTTTTTCTATGAATTATTTAACTATGCAATATCTAACTTTGAATATGTAGTAATACAGGTAAATATATCAGGTATTGCAGGAGAGTAAGAATTACTAGGGATAAGATTTTGTCAATTTATCAATGATATATCTTTTTATCATTTGTCAGATATATGTTATGTATATTCTATAGATTATTTATTGATAAACAGTATTAGAATGGTTATTTATACATGATCCATATGAGATAAGACATGGAATAGATGTTCAAGGATAATAAGGATGTCTGACAAAGGAAACTATGACAAGACTATGTACATCGTCAGAGAGCAGTATGAAGCAGTGGTTATTCAAGTTGTCAGTAAGCAAAAATCAGGCCTAGTCCAGGAGTCAGCAACCTACGTGAGCCCGATACAGCCTGCGACGCTTCACCTCGCCGATCTTGGCTTTATCCAGTGTGCCGCCTGATGTCGAAAAGCTATCAAGTGTGATGCAGCAACAAGTGTCATATTAAATGTCATTTGTGAATTTTTTTTTATTAAGACGACTGAGTTGAGTTGTCGTAATCTTCGCACGTTGTTTAAAAATTAAAATTTCAAGTTCTGATCTGCGTGAAAAAATTGTGATTCATCGACCATCCGTTCGATTTTCAGCTTTCTAAAAATATGTGCTCTCACCAAGACCTGCAACTCTTAATTTTGGCCCGCGAGCCACAAAGTTTTGCTGACCCCTGGTCTAGTCTAACAGTTGCGCTGTGTCGTACTAGTGTTCAGTGGCGTTATTCCTTTGGCTTACATGTTTGCAAACCTTTAAGGCATAAAGTACACATTAATGATCACAAAATTTAATTTTATTTTTTTCGTGTAAGGACCTGGCCTAGTCTATGATAGATAAGTTTGGCAGTGTCAAAATGGAGCATATAGTAATTGTTGGCCATTATGCTTGCGTTTAAAACAGTGGTTCTTAAAGTATGGAAGGTTTAAAAATGGGTCGCGACAAGGTCGTCAATGCAAGGGCAATCTAAGAGGAGAAGGAAGAATTTTCAGCTTTCCCAATGTTTCAATTTAGCTTCTAAACTCTGGTATTTAAAAATAATGAAATATAAAATTTCATTCACGGAAAGAACTGTCTTGAGCTCATTGTTACATCACAATTCTGATATGCCAGTGACGTGTATTATTTTTATGGTATCGGTAACCATGCGCGTCGCTTGTCGTGAGGTTGACCGCGTGGAATGTCGTCTTAGTGGATTAAAATAACCAAAAATGGACGTCTTTTTGGTAATGTAAATTGTAATAGACGACGCAATGAAAAGGCTCGCTTCTCGACATGAGATTATTCAATATCTAGAGAAAATGTGACTTCATCTCGAGGCACCATTTACCGCGAACGAAGCAGTGTGTGCACATTTGATGAGTAGAAAGTTGTATATTGCGAGAGATACCGAAGGCCAGCTAGGATGTCGTGTTTGCGACGGACAGCGGACGCCTTTTCTTCTACAATTCGCGACAAGGCACTTGTGCGAGCGAGGATATCATATTTGGCACTGACGGTTATCAAAACTAAGCTCGCAATCGCCTCGATACCCGTGACAACTTGCGTATTGCGTTAAGTAAAATAGAGCTGTGTATTGAAGATATAATGAAAAGGAAATTTCAGTTTCATCAATCTCACTGAGTCAATGGACTGTTTCTAATAAATAGTTGTCTGTATTTGAGTCAAACTGTACTAACATTAAAAACACATTTTGCGTTATTTAGGATTGGGTCGCGAGTATTCATAAAACTCAGATTTGGGTCGCGCCCGAAAAAGTTTAAGAACCACTGGTTTAAAAAGTTATAGAATAGATTTCTAAATATTTTTTAGACTTTTGAAATGAGTTGTCAAAACAACGTCTGTCTCAACTTTTTTGTACTGCAAAAATCAATCTCTACAAATTATTATTTCTGAGTGTATTTGAAATAGTAAATTATTTTGTTTTGGCAACCCCTGTGTGCTGAGTTGAGTAATGTAGATATGTGAATTTGAATGGACAATTTTAAATATTTCACATATACACGTTCATATAATTCAAGTTATATTTATCTTTTTTATTTTATTTTCTAGGTTCTAAACATATTCGAGTCAAATTCATTGCTGATCAAGAAGAAGCAGATATTCATAAATTATCAGATGTCATGTATCCGGATGATTCTGAAGTATCAAGTTTTGATGAATTAAAATCTGGAATGATGGTGATTGCCAAGTGGCCTCAAAATGGAAAATTATATGATGCTTTGGTCATCGATCCTTTGGATAACACAGGTTGGTATTATAAAGAAAAAAAAATTCTATTAGTTTTAGACCAGTGCTTCTCAACCACGGCTCTCAGAGTCACCTATTCTTCCTGCGGCTTTCAATTATTCTTTCTGTGGCTTTCATTTAAAAATTAATCATTTTCAGTGAAAATTTTTCATTGAAAATTAATTAATGACTTGAAATTGAATGACTGGAGTGCAGTAGTTGAATTGATTGTACATTGCTGGAGAATGCATCCATTAAGGTTGCGCCTCGCTTTGTCAGACTCTAAAGTCAAAGCCAATGTCAAGTTTAGTGTTTGATTGGTTTTTACCCTGAGTTTTGAATGTTGTTATTATAAAATACATCCTGAGTTTTTTTGCTATTTTAATTTGCGTTGTTGTCTCTGATGCTAAAAAAGGTTGAGAACCACTCGTTTTAAACTGTAGATTTCTATTCTTGTATAATTGAATATTATGGACATATTTTTTTCCAATTTTGATTTTCATTCATTAATATTTTTACTTGGATACAGTTGTTTTAGATTTAATATAGGAAAGATTCAAAAAGACATTTAAATTCCATTTAATTGTGTAATTTTAGTTTTGTATAATTTGTGTCTATTTGATTGAAATATGGAGCTTGTTAAATCATGTTCAATATTTTAGGTCGAAAATTCCGGGAGAGAAAGCCGCCTCCAAAACCATTCCAAGCAGATCCGAGGAAAAAAGACAGGAAGAATTCATCAGAGAGTATTGGATCACCTCGAGTCATGCTTGAACCATTATCATTCCAGTATTCTAATAATTTTGTGAGTTGAAAATTTGAATGATATTTGGATTAGAATAGGGTTCTCATATATATATATATATATACCAGAGAGAGGAAAGCCGATAACATGGCTAAATCATATGGCGTATCATAGCATCTTTTGCGGTCATCAGTCCATGTTGGGTATGGGTATTTACTTGGGACTTGATGGTGGAGAAAGCCATAAGCGACCAACACTTTCATGAATCTCCTTACAATGGTAAGGAGTACAGCACTCTTCTCGCAGATAATTTTGCCCCACAGGATTTCAACCCCCGAACCCTCGCAGGGTAATAGAAGAGTCGATGGCCGATGGCAAACATTTTGGTAATGCTTATCACGGTGCGCCAACATGTATACTGGTATAAGTTTCGCAGACAATCAATCTTGCTGCATTATTTTCAATACATGCTAACCAACTTTCATGGAGTTTTGTAAACTTCTTGGTTATATGAAACTGTCAATTGTAGAAGCTCTATATGTGATAGCCAAGGTATAACTGTAACCCCAACCAACAATAATTCTGACCATACTATTTAAATTTCATCACAGGATGCTGACAAACAACATTTCACATTGGATGGACAATTCACAGCTTATCATTCCATGGCTGACAGAATCAAACTGAAAAGACAGCAGAGATTGTTGGGATCCGGTTCATCAGGTATAATATTCTCGGCTAAGAAGCCGACTCGGCAGAAAAATGGTGTTATTTTTTTTCTCTGTTCGTCATTTAAACACCAATGTGCGTTCTACGTTTATCAACATTTTGCTAATTTTTTCTGTAGATATCTGCTAATGCGCTCGCTCTCTTTCTCTTAAGTTTTATGGTAAATGCATCAAAGCGCTTTGTTTTCAAGATTTACCGCACATGATTTGCTCATGATGCACACCAAATGCGGCAACATCAAATATAATAATCACAGTGTAGATGTTCTAGATTCAAATATTCCAGAAATTGTCTCTCTTTTCCATTGTTTTTTTTTTATTTCGAAGCCAATAATAAACCGACCCCAGAACAAATAAATTAAGCTGAGCCACCCAATAAGTCAAAATCAGAAATCAGACCAGGAAATCGACTTATCAGATGAAAATTATGGTATTAATATGAAGTCATTCACATCTCACAAACGTAAGGTATCCTTTGAAGAATTGCACTTCTAATAGGGTGATTGGTTTATTATAATTTATTTTATTAGGATGATTTATTTATTAGTCTATTTTGTTTAAAAAAAACTACTACTAATCTCAGTTTTGGAATAATATATTTTCTAATATTTCTTTTTCTGTTTAATAAGTTCATATTCTTTATTCCAAGGCAAAAAGAGAAAGCGTACGGATTCTTCCGATCCAACTTCGAAGTCTTTGATAACACTTCATAGTGATGACGAAGGTGATGAATGGAGGGATGAATCATCCTCTCCTGCTAGAAAAATTTCTCACAAAGATTCAAGAAAGAAAAAGGAAAGAAGAAGATTGGCAGAAATGAGATTGATGCAGGAAGGAGGTTCATGATTTTTTTTTAAATATAGTTCAATTATGTTTTGGTGATATTCAAAATCAATCAATTATTGATTGATTAGTTATATTTAATAACATTGTAAATTTTTGATTTTGTAAAATATTCAGAATAGGTTTTTTATACCTATTTCACACATTTCGCTCCAAAAAAAGCCAAAATTTTGATCATTTTGAAATCTTACAGGAAGACTAAAAAAGCTTTAATCCTATTCCCAAGATCTATAGAAAACAAAAAAAACGAAGATTAATCATTTATCTCAGGTTGATCCAATTGCTGGCACGCACACATTCTGTGCGGCCCACAAAACAATTTTAGCATACATTAAACCGTTGACAGATAATTGTATTTATTGGCTGAACATTTTTGGGTGTAATAAGCTATTCCAACTGGGGTTGGAATCCCGAGATTAAAACCCTTTTCCTAATCCCGATGTCTGAAATAATATTACCGTAGGTGAAATCACAAAATTTTAAAGTTGTATCTATAAACATCCAGTGATCGATACAATCATGTGTCTATCAACTGTTATGGGTAATATGGCCGTACGCGCTTCATTCTATAGAACAGGAGTGGGCAAATTACGGCCCGCGGGCCGGATCCGGCCCACTTTAGTGCTTTATCCGGCCCACTTGTTCTTGCTGAAATTAGGCTATACTTTTCATGCATAAAAATGATCGTTGAAGAGATGGGAGAAACAACAAATCGTCCGCAAATTAAAATTTTGTAATTCCACACGTACTGTCAGCCCTGAATATAAACATAAAACCATCTGAATAATTCCTGTACAATTATTCAAAAGCGCCAGCTCCTGACATATCAGCATTTTGGTCTGCATTTTGCTCTAGAAATAATCAAGCGATGATAAGGGAGAGACATATGTGCGTTTATTTCAGGAACCCGCCTCGCAGTATTTTGATCACCTTTAGGTTTTCCGAATGCGGCCTGCAAGGCCTCCTAAATATTCTTTGCTGCTCTTCAATCCCACATCCTTGGACCACCTTGAATTATCTCAACCTCCTTTGTAGAATATAAATTGACACTGTTCTCCATTGAACATCACTCAATTTCTATATTCCATATTTTGCATTAAAAAGTATTAATTTGGAATAAATTCAGACGGTAGACCAATTGGTTTATATTACTCTTAAATTAATACTCTATTTCTTATTATTTTAAAATTTCAGGAAACGTGTCAGGATCATTAAGAAGATTTAATACAGTAGTTGAATTAATATTTGAAGATATGGATAGATTGGATGCAACTTCATTACAATGTGGTCCCGATGATCTAGTACCTGAATGTTTACTCATTCCAGCATCAAGACTGAGAGAACTAAGCAGTGAATCTGCTAAACTAAAAGCTATGGGAATTTTAAACCAGGTTTGTTGATTTTTTTTTTGTTGATTTGATCACCGCCACTGTCTAAAACAGTCATTCCCAATCTTTTTTGCGCCGCGACCTCCTTTGGATATTTTCTAGCATACCGCGACCTATTTTTATGATTTTTGCTGAAATTAAATTAAAATTAGTAGGTCCCACAAAAGAAAGGATTTTAAGCTTTCATGCGTTTTCTGCAAATAGTTCAAAAAATTCTTGAATCAATTTGAATACTATCAATTATTTTATTATCTTGTTGGCCACAATATTAAATTTTCTATAACTGTCTTTGGGTGCACTCTATCACTACTATTTTCTGTACTGTATTTTCTGTCTATTAAGCTATTGACCAAAATACCGGAAAGCAAAATTGGTCTAGGCAGTATGCGGTACCGGAAAGCAAATTTGGTCCAGGCAAGAGGCGGTACCGGAAAACAGGGCGATGGAAATGCATAAATGTACTTTCATGTTACTTATTTCATAGAAAGTTTGCTTTGCCTTAGACTTCAAATTTACAAAATAACAATTGAATTGATATTAGAAGATGAACACTAGGTCAATTCACACGCAACACTTGAAATTAGAAAGAAAATGAAGAACATTTTAATGAAATTTTAAAGCTGCCTCAGCTATACAAATATTTCCTGCCGCTACCGCAAAGTTTCAATGTTTCCCAAACGGAGAAGAATTCCCCAGAGAGAGGAAATTTGTCGCTTTGATCGTGAAATTTTTTTTTTATATATATCAACCGTCGACCCAAAACCTCAAAAATTCGTTTTCATTGTTTCTCTTCTCAATTTTTTCGCCTATAAACGAATTTATTCTTCCGCAACTGATTAGGATCGATTTTATAGAAAAAAGGCATACTTAAAATTATTTTGTTTTGCAACCCCCTGAAAAGTGCTTTGTGGGTCGCGAGCTCCATTTTTTAGGAATATGTGAGAATATCTTTATTTTAAAAATTATAATTTTGAGCAATCGAACACTCACAGAGTGTTATTTTTTATAATAATATATTTCTCATATTTTCTAATAACGAAATTGTACAATTGATGTTTCTTTTTTTTTGATGGATTATGTTTTTATAAGAAATTCAGAGAATGTAAGATGTGCACATATATTTACATTTATATAAGTTTATCGCTAATTTTGAAACTTGTTTTGGCACAATGTGGCCTAATATTTGGAATAAAAAAATAATTCAGGTGTATTCTAAATTGTGTAAAATCCCAGTCTCAATAAGGATGAATTTTTATTTAAATAATCTTTCGTTTTCGAAATGTATTACAGAAGTTATCAGAATTTTAAATTGTGTTCTGTTAATGAAATTTCTTGGATGACTGTCTGGGGTTGATTTTGTTTGTATACAAGTGAAAAATTTTCGTATTTCTCTATTTTCAGGTTCCTAGAAAGAACCTGTCACGTTTGATGACTATTTTGGAACCAAATATTCGAATAGCTGTCAAGTTGAATCCACTTTCAGTCAAGGTAAGGAATGAAGTTTTGAACTGGTGTTTAAGTCGTTGCCCGTAACTTTACTCACTCGCTACTCTAAGTGAGCGTGTGCGACCTTGCTTTGAACAAATTCCCTTGAAGAAAATCTGATTTGTTGATTGGTTGGTTGATCATATGGCCCTCAACAAAAAATGTGGCAAATCTCTGGTTCTAGATGTTTTATTTTCCTATTATACTTCCACAGGGTGATATTACTCCTCAGGAACAAAAATGGCAACAAGAACTTGCTCTTGAAAGAGTTTATGCTGCAGCAGATTCCGCACTTACCGCTCTCAATCTGATGACGTCACCTGGAATGCCTAAATCAGTATTTATAGAAGATGTAATGGAGCGTGCAATACAACTGCTGAGATTTCAACTTACGAATACTATTTATCCAGAATATGACACAGTTTATAAGATCCACAGTAAAACTAAAAAGGGAAGCAGTGGTAAAGGTATGACAACATTTTACTTGCCAACTTATATCCTCACATATAAGCCTTACCTCATGAAACGATGAATTTATAAAAATCTGCATATAAACCGACCTTACAAATCGTAACACTCTGTACATGGTTGCGGAAGAGTCTTATTGAAAATGATGACCATTATTGTTAGGTTTTACTTTTATTAACGGTAAGAAGTGTCTCAAAATCCTAAATATGCAAGCGATCACGTGTATGACATCCAATCACAGACTGTTATTGCTGTCATAGCGTAAACACACAGGCGAACATGTGTCATAGTGTATCAAGCGCTTCTTCGTGTGTGTGCGTGCACGCTCTTATTGTGAAAACTTAGCATGTATAACCTAACCCTTTAGTGCGATCCGTGTTATGCGCATATAAGCCGAATTGTTAGCGATCAGAGTTATGCTCTTATTAGGCCGACTCCTTAGTTTGGCAACTTTTTTTTTTCAGTTTCAACCTCGGCTTATATGTGAGGATATACAGCATTTTATTCTCTGATATTTGTTCAATGTACCAAATAAACTGCCGAGCTATGCAGAATAGATTCATATTTTTCCAAGTAACTGCTCACATATCGATGACTCTTGTACAAATCAGCAATTGCCTCTTAAATACGTCTTTTAGATTTACACACTGCTTCAAGTAGACAGAAAAGAGCTCATTACAAAGGTACAAAAAGTCGAGCTGTTTCACATCTCTATAATAAGATGATTTCATTGATGACATTATGGGAAGAGTTACTACATATTCAACCTTTAACTGATACATCTGTGCTTCAGGTACTTATACTCTATACTCAGTAAAATTACCTTTTTTGATTGAATTTGAAATGTGTATTATAATGTCAACTCAATTTGTCATCTGTATTGGTGTGTAGGGATGTGATTCGTATATCAAATCACCAGTTTATGGAACTCATGTTAATTTCAGTTAGGTTCATATTCTGTGATGCGATGGCCTAGTGCAGGGTAGTCCAAGGTTGTCGGCTCCGCGGGCCACAAATTCATTTTTTGATTGTTCGCGGGCCACAATAGTGCCCCAAGAATAGTTGAACAGTGCAATACAAAACAAACACTTATTGTGCAAACACATAGTTATCAGAAATAGCCATCCCAGACAAATAGAATTCACATTCAATTTTTAGTTTTCTGTGATGCCCATATTGTTAACATATTATATTCTCGACCAAAAAGATAGAAAGCCAGATAATAATTTAGACTGCCAGGCACATCATTCAATTCAGTGACATTAGTGATGCAACAATATGTCAAAAGATTTTTCTGATTAATTTGATTACGAAACAACACGAAATGCGATTTATTGATTACTCTCCGAATGTGACGCGGGCCACCGATATTGAATCGGCGGGGCACATGTGGCCCACGGGCCTGGGTTTGGACCACCCTGGCCTAGTGGCTATAGAGCATGGGTCGGCAACCTTTATCATTGAACGAGCCATTTGGCATCCTTTCCATCAAAATCAAACCTGTTCGAAGTCGCAACATCTGCTTTAATGTCAGTAGAAGTTGAAACTCTCGTAAATCATTTGTGATCCAGCCCTGGTTCAGACAAATTTGAATTACCTTAATGCAATCCATTTTTACCACTGGCGGCTTATACTATGGGAACTGCGGTGATGTGTAATTAGTGAGAAATATTTGGCTTTATGTCTTCCCTATCATTGAATCCCCCCCACTGCTTGCTTCTTTCGAAAAACTGCTGTAATCACTTTGATTCACAGGAGCCAGTGCTCCGAGAACAAAGAGCGGCATGCGGCTCCGGAACCGCAGGTTGCCAATCGCTATTATAGAATTGGACCCAATTGTGTTTGCATCGCACTTCGCAAATAACACGTTTCAGGCTTTCTCTCCTCACGCAAAGTTAGATGGAATTGGGTGCCGACTGGAAAGATTCCAGTCATACCATATAAGAGTACCTTCTACATAACCTAAATATTAGTGGCCGCTTGTATAGGGCCTAGTTTGGAGCGAAAGGCTTTACTTCAATCATTGAAATAAATACAGAGTATATTCTAACTTCTAACTTGCATTGAAGTATTTTTGCAATTGTCTGAATTATTCAGACTTGCTTATTTTTAACTTTTGCTTTCAATCTAACGCACTTTTTCTTTAGTTCCTTGCTGTTCTTTTTTCAATATTAAGAACTTATATTTACAGGTTTCTTCTGTTGCAATTTCACCCTTTTTTGTTGAAAACGTTCGTGAACTCCAATTATCAGCTATTCAATTGACAACAATCATATTTGCTCGTTACGAAAGGCACAGAAAAATTATTCTTGAAGATATTTTTCAGTCGTTGGCTCGTTTACCTACAAGCAAAAGAAACTTGAGAAGTTTCAGGTTGGCCTATTGAATTTTACATTATATTAGTATGTAAGGAATAGGTGAAGATGGCGGCGCTCTCCTCACGGTTAAAGAGTTAAACGGTATCTCTTGATCAAATCCCATACCCCCGTGTTTTTCAATTTGTGTTCCGCGGAACACTGCTGTTTCTTGAGCTTCTTCGAAGCGTTTCGCGCGACAAGGATCAATATTTCGACTAAATTGGTCACCATGGCGACCTTGGTCGTACATCTGTGACTCAGGACAGGAATTTGACCTTTAACTAACAAACAGGCTTTGCTATCTAAACAGGCGGACAGGCCTTGTGCCAGTCTGGAAAACATGAGTTTTCTTTAACCATTCAATATTTCTAAAAGTCGTCCTAATTTTTTATTTGTCAAGTTTATAGCAAACTTTTTAATTTTACCTTGGGTGAATTTCTTGGAAACCATCCATCAATTTTACCTTCTAATTTTTTGGTGTCCTGCGAAGCGAGATAAAAAGCGTAGGGGTTCTTTGGCTAAAAAATTTCAGAAACGCTGGTTTAGACAATGCTAAACCAAAATGATTCCGGTCCTCCCAAATTAAACAACTCTTTATATATTGTGAGATATCAGTGGCAGGTTGTATAGGGTCTTGTTCAGATCAAAATGCTCGAATAACCGGCGCTCCAGTAGTGTGTGTACCAATATGGAGGTAACTAATTTTGTTCGACTACTTTACATCAATTTGTGTAAAGGCTAAAGGGACTGAAATCTATGGGAAGGGGGTATATTCACTTGGCTAACACAGACAGTCCCGGAACTCATAATGGAACTAAAATAAGGAAAATCGGAATAAAATTATGGCCTAACCCTAACTGGTACACACATTACGGAAGTACCGAATAACTGTTGTATAAAAAAAAGAATTACACGTTCATTTTTTTATAATGAAACCCTCTTGTGAACAGGTTAAATTATGTCGATGAAGATTACTCAGATGATGAAGACATTAGCAGTAATCAAGTTATGCCGTACATTCAGATGGTTTCTGCTCTGGTATTACAGATGATTCAGGCTATTGTCATGCTTCCACTGACGGAACAAGAAAACGATAAAAATGAAGGAGATAACAAGGAAAAGGTGTTTTGTGTGAATATTCGAATTTGAAAATTGTCTGTTTATCGTAGAATTGTTGATGATCACATTTGCATTCAACATTCATAAGTATATAAACCTATGAATAAAAAACAACTATTGGTTACTGTTACATAAATGAGTATTCTAGGACTGCGGAAACAAATTTGATTAACGTTTTCTAGTGGAGCCTAGTCTAGTTTCTAACTGTACAATAGTTATTAGTTATTATATTAAATTTCTTTCTTGTAGAATATGACAACAATATTGCGTAATCGTTATTATTTTCCCCGGTGTAAATAGCCTATAATAGTGGTTATGTCTACAGCAATGAAGCTTACCTAAATCGTTCATGTCTTTTCATAGGTTGATGAATTGAAGGTTATTCGAAGTTATGACAGTGCAATGAGAATGGGTCAGAGCTTTCTTGCCGTTTTTCTTAAGAAGTAAGTTATTTTGATCTTTCATGCGGCATGTCATTGTAGCCTACTGAATTAAATTACTTATCCTCAAGCTGAATCATAAATATCTGTGCATGCTGTATCAGTATTATGAGATATTTATGGCGATTTCAATCTTGAACTGCCATGATAAAAGTGATTTTGAAAACTTCGCTGTTGTTTCATAAAAGAAGGCTTGGTAAACAATTTTTAGCCTAGTATGTAGAATAACGTACACGTCTGATAACAATATTTTTAAAATTTATTTTAGATGCGCTAGTAAATCTGAAGAGATCGACTACAGACCTTTGTTTGAAAACTTCATTCACGATTTATTGGCAACTGTTAATAAACCAGAATGGCCAGCTTCAGAGATGATGCTCAGTATATTAGGAAGATTATTGGTATGTAATATCTTTACTGTTAGTATGTATTGATTTCACTGCGGATAACTAGTCTAAATCGAATACATTGACAATTTCTTACATATTTGATATAGTAAATATATGGTATCAGGAAAATTTTGGAATAGCTTGAGAAAATGTTCATTATAAGCTATTTAAATCTTTATTACTAAGAGCCGCATTGAGAAAAATACTTAATTTTCTTTAAAGCCCATATCAATAGTTGCCTTTAGTTAAAATTTGAAGGTGCCATCACTGCCATGTCTCGCAGGCCCTAGTTTACCCACCCTGATTTAAACCAAGCTATCAAATTCTGTCGATTTGCAATAAAATCTGCAAATTTCTTGAATGAAAACGACTTGAGTTAGCATATGTTCAACATTCCAAATTATCATTCTAGATTCTAGAATGTATTCAGAATAGTACAATATTTGATTTATGCCATCCCTGCATTTTGATTATTTACGTTTAGATTTAAATTTACTTGTTTCCAGCTATAGATCAGTCATCCGCACTTAGATTTCTAAAAATACACAAAACAATGTATAAAATATTGTCAATTGTTTAAAACATACTTTTCATTTTTTTTGTCTTCAGGTTCACACTTTCTCTAACAAGCAAACAGAAGCTTCTCTTCGAGTTGCATCGATTGATTATCTCGGTGTAATTGCGGCAAAATTAAGAAGAGATAGTGTTTCCAGTCAGCTTGATAAAAACATCATAAAACAACTGATATCTAATCTCGATAAAGCTGCGAAAGATGAACTCGAAAATCCAAAAGCCGAGACAGGAGAAAAAAAAGATGACAAAGATGAGGAGGGAAATAAGGAAAACAAAAGAGAAGAAACCTACGAAGAGGCTGAGAAGGTTAGAGTAGAATAATTGAAAAAAGTACATTTTAATTCCACTGTTAAATAGATTTGTTGAATTGAAACACAGCCAATAAGAGACCCAATTTCTTTAGTAGTATTTTAGGCTAATATTCATGTGAAGAGCGAGATATGTTTTTTTAGATAGATCCAGAATATGTACTTCAGTTCTGCAGCAGGGTAGATACATGGTTATGGCTTAGAAAACTGTTCGATAAACCAATACTAAGCTTTTTTGTTTTTCCATAATTAAATAATCTTCTCCATAATAATTATGATAATCTGTATTACTTCTGATAATTTCAACCCTTTTGAGAATGCGCCATTGCAGATTTTCACTTCCTCTGTGTTTTTCACTCTCTAAACTTTAAAGGATGTTGCCCACTTTTAGAATTACTCATTAAGCTTTCATTTAGATATTCAAATATGTTATTTATCAAAATAGTTTTGACGAGGAAAGTTTTTATAAAGCTAAGTTTTGTTTGTAAGAAGGAAAAGAAAAGTAAGAAGCGAAAAACATCAGCAGGAAAGGGTAGAAGTAAGAATAATAAGAAAACAAAGAAAAATATTATAGAGAATAAGCTGTGGAAACCAACTGAGGTGTGTTTAGATTTGAGTGGAAAATATCAGCAATTCAATAACGTCAGCTCGCAAGTTGATTTTTATAATTTTTTAGCTATTTGTTTTTGTGTTGTCAAATTTCAAATTATCATCATTCAATATCAGTCTGTGATTTGAGATTTCTTTTTGTCGAGTATAGAGTGAGTTTATTAGTTTGAGAGTGGTTTTTGCTATATTTAGGACAAATATTTTAATGATGAATAATATTTGAATTAAAATTTCTATCAAATTTTGTTATTTTGTGAAAATTTCATTCTGACAAAAGTATAGTTATTTTCTAAATTTTTCGAAAGCTTTATTTTTAGATTTTATGTTAACTCAACCACTTTCTGAACTAAAATAAGCAACATTTCATTATAAGTTAAATTTCATTCGATACTTAATTATTATAAATTTGCGTATTTGTGCTTTTACAGGAGAATTCTATTGAACACCGGCTTCACAATATCTTACTTGATTATGTTCGAAGCAATGCTGATGCAGATCCTGCGCTTATGGTAAGTTGTGTTTACTGTAGTGTTTACTGTACTTGTGTTTAACAATAGCTCATGCTTGGTGAAACAATTTTTTTTTTTAATTTTTAAATTTCATTTTTTCTTCAGTTTGCCCACAACTTCTACATTGGACAATGGTTGCGTGATGTTACTAGAGAAGCGGGAGAACTGCAGAATACAAAAACGGAAAATAAAGTAAGTGACTTACGGAATTTTATTTCTGATTTTCAGATTATTTCCTCCCGTCTATATTTTGTTCTTAGTAAATCATTTAAGCAAAATCGTGGGAACATTTTCTGTTATTTTTCTAACTATTCGGTTGACTTTTTTGACTAAGGATGTAAAAATACCCACAATACTTTGAATTTTAATTTAAAACAAATCGTCATTATTGTCTTCATTTGAAATCTTGAGTTTTAGTGATTTTTAATTTTTTGTAATGTCAGTTGCACTGGACATTTAAGTGATCACTCGTAGCTTCGCTCAGAGATCTTTCCCTTTAATTTCGGGGTGATTTTGCTCTCAGCATCTTTAGATTCAACGAACGATTCAGGGGCGTTGCGGGGGTTTTACCTTTTTACAATACTTTTTCTAGGACATCGATGGTGAGGTCGAAGCAATAGACAAACAAAACAATTTGTTGCAAGAGTGTGAACACAGGAAGAAGCAAATTTTGGAGCTTGCTTCAGACACTGCTGCAGAACAAGCTAAGCAGAACGAAATAACTGAAACAATGCAATCAAATGAAAATGGTGTTGTGAACGCTACCCCAACTACACCCTTGAAAAGGTAGTTCACTACAGAATATCTATGCTTTGTAGATTGTAAATACTACATTGAAAATTGGATATTCCCGTTGTATGTGTACAAGGTTAGGGTGAGGCCATAATTTTATTCCGATTTTCCTTATTTTAGTTCTATGATGAGTCCGGGGACTGTCCGCGTTAAGCAAGTTAATATACCCCTGCCCATAGATTTCAGTACACAACTTGATGTAAAGCAGGCGAACAAAATTAGTTACCTCCATGCTGGTACACACACTTCTGAAGACCAATTGCCAATGGAATAAGCTTTTCTGTAATGGACTTTCGGGTTGCCATAGAGGCAGCCTGTTCGATTTGTAGAGCAGCTACATAGGATGTGTACATATTGGTAATGAAGTGTAGTTTACATAGTAGAATTGTTCTTTTAATAATGTTGAAGCGTATTTAGTCTAAAAAATTAGCAATTAAGTGAAATTTATTAAATAAACTGTAATATTCTTAGCTAGGCTTTAATTCAATGAGCGGGGTATTGTGATACCCAAGATACCAAAATGTTTTTGCTGAAGAAACTGTGTTCTTTGAAAATAACTAATAGCATTATCTATTAATTTTGAAACATTCTTTGAATAGTCAAAGCTTAATAAATTAAATTTCAATCGCAAATGTGATATATATCTAAAACAAATAAAAAAAGAAGAAATTTTTTCAAGAAATATGTAAATTCTAATGTTATTTGCAGGAAAAACAAAAATGTCAGTGCCCAACTAACATACGACAATGCCACATTGATGACTCGATATCTTGCTTCAAATCGTCCTTTCTCACATTCATTTGATACTTATCTCACACACATTCTACATATTCGAGAAGAGGCAGCAGTCGCTGTACGAACGCGAGCTATCAAATGCCTTGCAGAAGTTGTTGCGGTTGACCCTTCTATATTAGCTAGGGTAAGTTTAAGACGTTCCAACTCTGAATTTATAGGTTTAAAGTCGACATGCTTTTTTAATGTATAATAATGTTGTTTTTCCACTCTTTTCAATGCTTTTTGTCAAAAACGCTATCATTTTACTTGATGTAAATTGTTTTTTCATTGACCTGAATACAATTCTCAGTCGCAGACTTGGAAGAATTTTAGTTCATCGTCTGTAGCAAGGTGCTGTATTGTAAACTTCATTTTAATATTCCAGAAAGATATTTGGCAAGGTGTACAAGCAAGTTTAATGGACGGATCAACCAGCGTAAGGGAAGCAGCGATAGATCTTGTGGGCAAATTTATTCTTCTCAAACCAGAGCTTGTTCCTCAGTATTATAAGATGTTGACGGCGAGAATATTGGTAATTTTTTTTTATTTTTTATAAATTAAATTTTAAAAGTTATTAAAATGTAATTCAGATTGCTAGGAATGAATGTGAACTGTGAACCCAGACATGTGTGTCTTTTTCACACACACACACAAGCATGCATAGTTTTTGTACCAATTTGAAAATCTACACAAATGATAAATTTTTTTTTGTTACTTTACTAAATCATGCTGCAAAGAAATGCACATGTGCACACATGTACACACACACACATGTGAACACATATTTTCAAAAATATATCAGGTATCATCAATTTTTTATGTGTTTTTTTTCAATGCAGGATACAGGTGTCAGCGTTCGTAAGAGAGTGATCAAAATATTGCGAGATTTATGTCATGAACATCCAGATTTACCACAATTAACTGATGCATGTGTCAGGATAATAAGAAGAGTAAATGACGAGGAAGGAATCAAGGTTTGTTATTGTTTTGTGTTGTTTTTTCTATCGACGAGATCACCAAACTTATAAATAATTTTACTTCAACGAGTCAATTCTAAACTCATTTTAGTGAGTGATTATTTTAAATTTGGGCGCCATCTTTGTGCAGTTTGAATTTTGTTAATCACAAAATAATTATTGTTTGTATTATCATACTATCATATTGTTATTGAACTACTATATTCTGTTACGTACCACACTTTGTGGAGGATGATGTGAAATGATGAATTTACATAGCATGTAAAACAGGTGATGCCAGGAACTCTTAAAATATATTTGATTTGACGGGAGGTTTACATGGTTTTTAATTGTATAGAAAATCTATATGAACCAAACATTTTGACTGTCAAGATATTTTTTATCCAATGCAACTCAGGGTATGCTTTGTTGAAAACATTCATCTCGTCTCGCTTTGAAATATGTGATTTTTTATTAAAGGAGACTGATTTTTATCCTTGTGGGACACCTGCTATGCTATTAGACACTTTAAGGAACCCCTATTAATAGGAATGTTACAAAACGCGCTTTTTCGCGCCAAAAAATGTACGCACCACGTCTGCTAAGTACCGTAACGCCGTGTCAGAATACCGCTCATAAAAACGACTACGGACTGCCTGCTGTTGCTTGGAATTCCATGAAATTTGGACATAACTTAGATAAAATGCGCAACTATGATTTGGTATTTGAATTTTTTCATTAGCGCATAAATTTCCCAACATTCGGGGCTTTTAAAAATTACGCTAAAGTTATACGTACTGCAAATTAATGATATTGTCTATGGACACCAATAAAATATATATGGACGCATGTATGTCATTCCTAACTTGATACTTACCAATTTTTATGAAGTTTGTTCAATCAGAACATCGTTAATTATTACCCGCAACGAGGCACTGTCAAACTAATATGCTCAACTCCAGGGTTGATTTGCGACGATCTTCCGACGGCCTCAATGATTGTTGCCAGAATAAAATCCTAAAGTAATCTGAATTTTCTTAGATGTGACGTACATCAAAAAATTAAAGATTGATATGTGTTTTTTTTTCATATTTATTAAAGTTCTTATTGAAAAAAGTCAATTCGCATACGTTTACGAAACGGTACAAATTAATTCAAGGCACGAGAAGTATGATCTTAGCACGCGTCTGTCAACGCGCATCAGTTATCGACTGAATGCCGACATTTTCCCTCGCAGCGATTTCTCTCGTTTTGCGTTCCACTAAGCGCGGTAAATCTCCTACGAGTTAAGGAATATTAAATGATAATTAATCGTTCACTAAGGTCGGATATGAAAAACGCTAAATCAGTTAATTGCCGCGTATGCGGGGACTTGCGTATCGGGAAAGTCGTTGCCGACCAGAGGTTATGTAAAGTTCAGAAACTTTCTCGTACATAATTAATTGAAAAGCAGCTAATATCGTTAAAAAGAATTTGTAAACTTTTTTGCATTAGGTTCTTCTATTCACAATAACTTTTCGTTCAAACTTTTTTTCAATTACCTCCAAAAATAGCCGAGATACATTCTGTTGTTTATCGGTCTGACATTCTCGCGGTCACAGTTTTTGAGTCGGCGCAATACAATCCTTATGGAAAAAATTGGCCTATCGGGCGGTACTCAAATGCAGATATCTCCGTTAATTCTTGACCATTTTTCGCAAACTTGGTATTGTTTTCTTATTTTCACTTAGATCTATCCACTGGTGCAGTTTTTATTTAAATCGGATGAACTTTAATTTTTTTGTAACATACCTACTATTAACAAATATTGAAAAACAACCTTAAATGTATGAAAGTCGAAATTTCTGTGTTTCACATACCAAAATAACAGAAGATAAAGCTCGAGAAATTCAATGACCCTTCTGCTGTTATATTTGTCTCACGAATTTTCAAATTATGGCACTATATTGTTCAGTGAAATATTTATGCACCTATCCACGTTACTTAGGCATCTTCTGTTTTCACTCTTAATAATTGTTAAAACATAAAATACTGTTTCACACAAATAGCTATTGCAAAATTGACACACAATCAACACAGTCCACTTGAAGAGAATCTCACACTGGACGCTACAAAACTCACAGAATGCCTACGGGGTTTTACGGAATCTTGGCACTTGTCTAATAAAGCCTGAAAATCTATCTGAAAAATCTTTAGTTACAGATAAATGCACTGTTTTATCTTCTTTTTTTTTCATTGAATTCATAGAAATTGGTTCATGAGGTTTTCATGAGAATGTGGTTTACTCCTCTGAAAAATAAAGATGCTCATTCAATGAGACTGAAAGCGCTTTCAATTGCTGATGTTGTGGCGGCAAATAAAGATATTGGATATGAGTGGATTGAACAAATGATGGTTAATGTAAGTATCGAGTATTTGCATACGTTTTTGAATTATCTATATTCGATACAGTAATATGTTTTTATTTAAAAATTGGGGATTTTGTAACGTCAGACAAGCATGTACAAACGTACGATATCGCAACTGGTAACAAACAACACAGATGACTTTTATTAATCTATGTTGTTTTAGATATGATTAACATGAAGATATAGTGATTTATGCAATTCCCACTTTTATAATGTTCCATTTTTTAAAGTATACTCTCAGAATGTAATCAAGGAAGAAAAATAGTTCGTTTTGGCCCTCAAATAAGTACATTATAAAATTTTTCCAATGTATGTATTTCGTTGTTCTACTTCAGTTGATTGACACAGATATTGTGAACGAAACAGTGGAATTAGCATGTCAACAAATTGTAGATTGTCTTGTGGATCATCTTATTCAAATTGAACAGGAAAATCAAAGCAAAGGTGAATTTATCATATTCATATACCAAGTAGTAATTTAGTTGATGACAAATTTTCGATGAACACTACTATAATTTTTTCTAAAATCAAGAATTGAGTATAACTAATTTTGAATTGATTTGAATATTCCATTTATTTTTGGAATCAATGGCGTTTACTTTTCGAATGCTGAAATCATTACCTTACTTTATCAGATGAGAAAGATGAAAATGCACTGGAAACAGAAGCAAGCGGAGCAGTTTCAGAATCGACCGAAAACACTGGTAACAATTGCAATTAAAGATACCTATATACATAGCAGAGATGTTAGATCTATTGTAAAATCATTTTCTATTATTTCTATTTTGAAGCCTTATCAAAAATAATAAATTTCCTATTTTATCCTCGCATTATTGTTACATACAGATATAAAATCAGATGATGAAGGAATTGCGACCGATGTTTCAAATAAAGAAGATTTAAGAAACAAGAACGAGGCAGTGTATGTTATGTTCATATGTAGTATTTTTATCAGTGCATTTGCATCCTACAGAGCCGCAAGTCAATTATCAACTGCATATATTTTTGATTTTAACGCTTCCATGATTTTTTCAGTATTTTATTCTTCTGTACTCTTTACAATCTTTTTGATCACAAACAATCAGGTTGATTAACTTGACAATGAATGAATTTAATCATTTTTTTCTCAATGTACTTTGTGTCAACATACCTGATCATGTGGGACGAACTCGTAATAGAACAAAAATAAGGAAAATTGGAATAAAATTATGGCCTAACCCTAACCTGGTACACATACTATGTTCCAGTGTTCGCCATCATGGTACATATACTACGGGAGCGTCGTTTATTGTATATTCTCTGGGATTCCACAATTATATTTTGTAAAATATTTTGATTTCAAATCAATATTTAATCTAAAAGGTTCACACTGGAAACTCATTATCTGCTAATGAAAGAAAAGTAGCAAAGATCGAAATATTTTATCTTGGAAAATCTCATTTTTTGAATTTATTATAATTGATCATATTTATTGCATGTTCAAGTAACTCAATCAAAGTTTCTTTCAGAACCTTTTTTAATGTAAAAATTCTATTTCTTATTGTTTGGCCAAATTGATACTTCGTTGTGTATATTTCAAAAACCATATTGTTATTTATGAGTATTCTTATATATTTATTCAGGGCAAATGCTTTACGTGGTCGTAAACCAGTTGAAATGATTGCTGCTACCATGAGAACTCTTGTGCTGTTTGCGAAAATTCGTCCTAAACTTCTTGTTCCACATGTAATGACATTACAACCTCACTTGACGACAAAATGCGAGGTAATGCCTACTTTTTTCCTAATATCATATTATATAAATGTTGATATCAAAAGCATATATATATCTGCATTTTAAAATCGATTTCTCTCTTTTTTCAGAGTCCTGATGAACTTCAGACTCTCCAGAGTGTTTGTCGAGTGTTAGAATTGGCAGTTCCTCATCTTGAGCATCCTGGAGAAGCTTTCCTCGCTTCATTAGAAGAAGATTTGATGAAATTAATACTCCGAGAAAAGTTTTTGGTGGTGAAATCAGCAATCGCGTGTCTCGGTTCTGTGACGCGGCATATCACAGAAAATTATAAGCTCGTGTGGGATTGCTTTCAAAAGTTGTGTTGTAAGTTTAATATTTCGTAATGTTTAGTATGTGTTGTTATATGCAAATACGACTCGATCGACTCATACTTTTCCTCGCTTTTCCATGAATAAGGTATTGAAAAGAAACCATCCATTTAAATAGAGCTAATCTGTCTCGATTGGCTGATTCTTGTATATCTTAGAGTCCCAGTAAATTTTTTCACTTCATTTGGCATGATTTGATACTACTTTTTTCTTCTTGAGAATTGAGATTTGACTTAAGATGTCTTTTATTGTTGAGGTGGGTTACAGTACATTGTTTTCTGGAAAATTGGCCTGGTCCACAATAATATCACTGCATTTTATTTTTTGACAACTTATCATTTTTCATTACTTATAGTCTTTAAATTATTTTTCGCCATTTTTTAATTTTGTTCTGATTATTTTTTTCAGCATTTCTGTCGGGAATGAGAACGCTTCATCAAAAATCTGGATTCAGTCAAGCTTTCAATGTGAAATCATCGCAATTACTCCGTACCTTATTTATCACCGGACATTTGATGAAAACTTTTGATTTTGATGAAGAACTCATGAAAGGATCTCTACAGGTAAATACCATTTTTCATACTTTTTCTTCTTATTGTGTCTCTAAAATTAAATTTTCATGACATTGAAAATAATAACTTGGGATTGATGTTATATGGAACAGAGTCAGACCCCATATTTGACCTCAATCAGGGGATAATATTTCTGAATCATTACATGTTCATATATATTTTAAATTTAATATATATGGAAGGGTAATGAACACTGTTTTGATTAGTATACAAGTTATCTAAGCTTATCTAACCAAATATCAAATGTTTTTGAATGTTTGATTCGTTTTCGAAATCCTTGAATAGAATTGAATATAAATTTAGTTGAGTTAATTCACATTTAATTCAAATTGTGAATTATTTTTTAGGTCTGCATCAAGGATAAAGTATACGAATGTATTTACTACTTCACTCAACTACAAAGTCACGAAGAATTGAGACTTTATGCAATAGGATCTCTCGGCTTACTCATGATACAAGATCCCAACATGATGTTTCGTACCGAGACAAAAGAATGTTATAAACATTTACTAGAACCAAATCAACCATCGGATGCTCTCAAAAATCAGGTTACATTCTTTACATTATGATTTTTTGATATACTTGGGCCAATTGATGCGAAGTAATGTGATTTGATATCAAACCTGAAATTTGGGTTAAAAGTGACATTACAACATGAATTTAAACTAGAATAACGTCTCCTTTTTACTGTGACAAAAATTTTAAGAAATTATTATTTTTTTTTGTTTAATTGTAATTGAATTATAGAATATTCAAATTATACAGTTTTGAGACAAAACTAGGTATTTTTATTGAGTTTATTTCATCATATTTCGTTAATAGAAAATAATTTCGATATTTTCGATAATTGATAATATTCAATCTATCCACATAGTGGGTACAATTCGCCATTTTTCGCTCCTCAAATATGGCTTATGACTAAATGAATAATATTTAATATCCAAAATTGTATGAAGTTGCAAAAAAATGTATAACACTGCTGAATTAATTACCATATCCCAAAGCTAATACCATCAGAAAATTATGACGGCAATTTCAAATTGTGTCATATTATACATTTTCAACAAATTTTTTTCATTCTTTTTATATCAGGTTCTTGTAAATCTGCAAACTTACCTCTCCGAAGAAGATGTCCGAATGCAAGAAGCCGCTAAGTTGTCTTCACATAAGAAGAAAGAAGATCCATCAACAATGGGTTTGCATGCTAGAAAACAATTCGAACAACAACAACATCAACAGGAGGAAGCCGAAGATATAAAAGAAATATGCGATGTTTCGAGTGGAATGGCATCTTCTGTTATGCAGGTTTATTTAAAGCAGGTATGCAGATATTAGTCAATAATTTATAGCATTATTATCTAGTTTTTTTTGCTCGTTCCAGTATTGTATTTCATTTTCTTAAATCCAATTATTAAATTTTCAAATGCTTTCATATTTTTAATCTGTTGATGTTGGAAAATTGGCTTATTTTACATCTTCACACTGATACATGGAAATCTATGTTTTTTGAAGTACCATGATGCTTTCGGTTGATCATTGCCTAATGCCTACCTTTATATTCTACCCCATCGTGGAATTGTGAACATGTGCTTGACCCTCATCTTATATGCGCAATACTAACTGAGGCTGCTTATACGTAACAGCATTTCAACTGCTCGTGGCACAAAAAGGATGGTAACCACTACTCTAAACCCTGGTCAACCTTGTTCCCATGTTTACACATTATATATTGTTTATAACCCTCAACCTCATGACCATGTCTACACATTATATATTGTTTATATGTCAATATAAATTTCAACAAGATATGACAAAAAAAGTCCCGAATCAGTATCTATCACGTATCTCAGTTTATTCGGTTTTATATTACAATCCAACATTTCAGTATTTCCACCTTTTTCATATTTTGTTCCTCTCTGTCAAGGTATTGGAATGCTTCTTCCATCCACATCTTCATGTCCGAAACGCTGCTCTCAACACAATATATTTAACATTAAATCAAGGATTGGTTCATCCTTTACAATGCGTTCCTTTTGTTATTGCAATGTCAACAGATTCTGATCCTGCGCTCTTTAATAAATCTGAGCAACTGGTAAGCTAGTATTCATTTTTTTCAAGCATTGCAGTTATAATTCGTTATTTAAAACTCCAGATTTAAGAAATATAATTCAATATTGGACACAAAGTTGTGTTATTATGTTCTTGCTGTTCTTGCTCTTTCCCTTGATAGTATTTTTCTCGTTATGAAAAAATTGCATTTCTTCTCATTAACCACTGGACCAATTGCTTTCAAATTTTCAGTGGTTGAAGATTGTATTTTTCGCTAGAAGGCTATTACTTTTTTTTATTTCGAAGATTTCTGTAGGTTCTATGGGAATCGTTTTTTTGTGTGCGATGCCGATGACACAAAAAATTGCGCATTTTGTGGGAAGTTGTGGCAGTTCCCCAATTCATGTTAGTGGTCAGGTAAAGTCTGTGGTACAGGTAGTCCACTGTGACAGGTTGCATACCCATTCTACTTCGCTTTTGCCTTCGTGTCCAATTTGTCCATATTTGAGCATCGTACTCATTCTATTTCAATAAAAGCTTATGTATCTACTTTTGGTCAAACAGCAGATTGGATATGTTTGGATATTTTTTAGAATTAGGAGAATTTCTGAACGAAGCAATATTAACATATCTTCATTCCTTGTAGTTGGGTGAAATCAGCAAGAAATATTCAGGATTCATCCACGCTAAAGCATTACAAGGTGTTAAGATGGCATTCAGATTACAAAGTTCTGTCACAGAAAGCAAATATGTTACGAGAGGATGCCGTGCTATGCGAGGATCTGATGAAGTTGCTGGATTTAACAAGGTAATTTTAAAACAGCCAGCCATAATGCAAATTCTGGACACTTCAATTAAATTAACATACATGAACAAATGTATTATTTTTAAGTTTCGTTTGAAATAGATAATATGTCCTGTCGCTTTTTTTTTCTAAAAGATCAGAGCACAACGACTTCACTGTTGCAAGTATCACATGCAACTTTTCCTCATTGCGTTTGGTATGCGATGGTATTAATATTGAGAATATTTGTGAGCATATCACTGCAAAACAACAATTTGCTTTTTTCGAAGTCAAGTGATGAAATAGTGCGAAAAGTAAAGCTGTAAAGACAACAAAATCGAAATATTTTTTTACTTATTATGACTGAGCTTTTCGGACGCTGTGTCTCATTGAAATGATAACGTCATACAAATAACTTCATTATAGATTTATTTATTATTGGCCAATATCAGGTTTTTGCAGAATTTTACGATCGACGATCGTATTTTCCTAAATATTAACACAGTATAAGACTGTCTGGCTGCTATATGAAGTGCATATATTGCATTATATTTCAAGTTTATTGCACATAAGAAAAGATGATGAATGTTTGATCACCGGCTTCAAATTCTTCTTCCTCGCAATAAAATTTTATATTACCGGTGCTTGGATTACAACGCTCGTTGAATAAGGAATAAATGTTGCATACTGAAGTTTTTTTTCTATGTAAATAAAATATTTTTCAGTAATCAAATTTAAATTTTAAGGCATGCTGCTCTCCACTTTATATGACAATACGTGGTGACAGAAAATACAGACGTGGATTGATGCTCGGCCTCCTCAATCTTTTTGATGACACAGTGGTAAGGAAATTTGAATGAATCGTTAAAAACTTAAAGTTATAGAATATTTGTTTCCAGTAATTTTACTGTCTGTGAAAAGAATAGGATATTTCCGATTTAATGTAGTGCGCCCGATATTTTAAACTTGAAAATTTCCTATTTTTTACCTTTTTAGAGGTTTGGCTCAGATTATTCCAAGTTTGGCATTGCATACCCTACTGGAGACAAGGGAGTTCAAATCCAGTGTAGTCCGGACCGATGCTTTTACCATTTGATCATCCCTCTTAATTATTTCATAGATCAGCTATGTACTACCATCTTGAATTTTTTGATAATAAGTTATCCAGATTTGTTTATCTGTATATTTTTATTTTAGAAATCCGATCTGGGACTTCTTTTATTTGTTGCTGATAATCTTGCATACTTTCCATATGTTACACAAGATGAACCACTCTATGTGATGAGTCAAATTGAAGTTTATGTTTCTGTATCAGGATCAAATGTATTGCAGAGTTTTAAAGAGGTGAGTTTTTTCTTTTTTAAATAATTGCGACGTGTGATGATAAATTTTCGTAAAATGTTTTTTTGATGATATATCATAAATATACGCAAGTAGAGTACTTTTTCAATTATTTGATGCGGCACTAAATCGTTTTTGTCATCCTATCTTCACTCATAAAAGTATCCAGTAATATGCAATGATCTACTATTTGGAATGACAGGATATTTTCTATTCTGACATTATTGATCCAATTTTACTACATTCTGGGTTAGGACTAGTTGGGTTACTGCATGATGATGCAAGGTGAGATTTAACTGTGTTGGTATCGTAGGCTACATATCTTGGGTTGAAATTCCATGCTGGCCCCTTCACCCAGGGTGTATGTAATACATATGGTAGGCAACACCTAACTTCCTTCCAAAAATTGTTGCTAGCTCCTAACCTAGCATTGGCTGTTTTTACATTCACTTAGCTAACTTCACTTGGTATACTCACTTGGCTAACACAGACAGTCCTCGAACTTGTAATATAACAAAATAAGGAAAATCGGAATAAAACTATGGCCCAACTCGAACCTGGTATACATACTACGGAATTACCCAAATAAGCTACTTAGCTCTACACTAATATAATTTATCTTATTCTAAATTCCTTGTTTAATAGTATTTGATTATTATTATTCATAGCAGTTGAATCATTCTAATTCATTTCATTTTTGATTTGCACCAGTGTTTGCTGACCAAACCAGTAAAAGTGAAGAAATTAAAGAAGAAAAAATCACCGAAGCAAGATGCGAGTCCTTCAACATCTCCTATACACAGATTATCAAGTTCATCGAGTTCTTCATCCTCTGAAGATGAACATTTAGAAAATGATCTTTCTGATACAGAAGATGAAATTGGAATCATATCTCGACTTCCGAATAATGATTTACCACTCAGAGAATTTATGGAATCGTCGATGGCTTGTTTATTACTTTTATGGGTCAAACAACATCTAAAAACCGTTTTTGGTTTCACTGACAAGTAAGTAACGTTCCCGTTGTGTTGGTGAAATTGTTGCCTTAATCGCTGTTGTGGGAGCTTTGCGAGTTTCCAACCTTTTTTTAAAGGTTGTCCCAAAGACCCAATTTTTCAAAAAAATTCATTTTTTGTTTCTTGCGACCCAAGTTATGCCCAAATACTAAATGATATGTACCGCTTTTAAAAATCGCAAAATTAAATGACTAATATCAAACAATCAATTTTTATATAACGTTTATTTCTCCGGAAATTACCTCGAAGTGAGAAAGCTGCACCTGCTTGCCTTCAGCGCAGTTTTGAAATGTGGCTTCACGTAAGCAAAATAAACGCTACCAAGTTTTTTTGCTGTGATACATCTCACATGTACATTTACTATTGAGCAACACTTCAATCCCACATATGAAATAAACAATAAAATTTAATTACTTACTTTTAAATTTTTTCGTAAAAAACAATTGACCCAAGAAAATTTTAAGGCGACCCAGTTTTGGCTTGCAATCCATAGGTTGGGATACACTGCTTCAAATCACAGAGCAATCTATCTTAAATTTTCATTGATTAGAAATAGAAATGTACTAAGGATATTAGTTATGTTTTCACCTTTTTGTTGAATTTCGAGTTGCCCATTGTTACATCCCAAACTGAGCTGTTCTTAATTTGGAAAGGTTTTCACAAGAAATGGTTTTACAATAACCGTTTTGTGTCGTCATATTTCACATTGCTTTGTGGTGATGCTAATTCAATATTTTTATTTTTTCATAAAACTGTTTTTCAACCATGACGTATTTCATACTGGCAGGGGTAGAAATGGAATTGAGTTATATTAAAGTAACGGATGGTTCAGCTCAGAATTTTGTCATTAATTTGGCTGATGATATGTCATATGGTCATGTTGATGGAAAAAGTGTTATCATGCAAATAATCTCTAGTTGAAAATTTGCTAATATACATGCTTACATATCTATAACAAGTTTTTATATTCCATTTTTCAGTAAAATACATAGATATTCGCCGAGTGAACCAGTAAAAGCTCATGATAAACAAGTTCTAAAGAAAAGGCCTGATTTATTGTTTGAACCAAATCAAGTTATCAATTATCTGGATCGCAGAATACATGGAAAATTACCGACTCATCTTTCACAAGATGAAGATTTTAAGAAATTGATTGCTCAGCAGTATTTCAAGGTAAAAGAGAATCTTGTGATTTTAAGTAATAACTCAATACCATAAAACGGTTGCTTTGGTTTATCAATAATGAAGTTCTTATATAGCGCATGATTGCCACCGGGTCTATTCCTGTTGATGATAAATGAAGCACAACTAGTGTATAGCGAATTGATGTAGCGATCGACATGAATTTCTTATATTTTCTTTATATTCATAGTTTCATGAATTGATGAATAAACTGGATCCAAATGATTCAGACTCCGAATCTGATAAAGAAACACCGACTAAGAAGACTGGGAAAAAACAACCTGCAAATGGTAATGCTAACGCTGTTAGTAAGTTTTCAGCTACCTAGATTTAACTTTCGCCAACATGTCGTTGCCATGTGACAACTAATATGCCACTTTTTAGAACTGTTTCATGTGCCAAAAAAAGGCTAAAAATTCATTGACAAATCCATTTTTTGATACACTTTTAGCGACAAATGCTGATTCATCTCACGGTGAAGATAATCATGCAATACAGGAGAAAATAAATGATAATGCTATTATTGATGAAAATAGTGACAGAGATTCAGATGCTGAAATGCCCAAGAAAGCAACTGCTCTGGATGTAAGTCTTTTTTTTCATTTTGCTATAAGTGTTTTTCCACAATCGAATCGATGTAATCTTTCTGTTTTGATGAAATACACATTTTGAATTAATCACGAAAGAGATGTCCATCCCCTTATACTTTGCAGAAAAATGTTTAGTTGTATCAAATCTCGAATAAGTTACACAAAAAATATGCTAATATAGACACAACAAGAGTACAACCTTCCTTGAGAGCACTGCACATGCAGTAAAATAAGACATTGCGTACAAAAAGAAGAATAGCATTAAAAATAGTGCGACTTTTTCTGAATTACATTTCTCTTTAATTTAATTTTTCAAGTTGACGTCTCTATAATCATGTGACCACAATGTTCGGATTATTTATATTACGATGGTTTTATTATATGTTTGTGGTTTCCATGCATGATTGGATGTTTGTTTAACTTTGGTGACTTAACTTTGCCATTGACAGCTCATACGATCATCTGGTATGTCGAAGCATAAAAAGAAGCTTTTGAAGTCAAAACATACTCATCAAACCAGACCAGAATCTCCCAGTATACCGAAAGAACTTCGCGCTAGGAAAAAGGTTGTTCAATACGTGGAATCTAGCGACAGTGATGATTCGGAATCAGAGTTTCTCGGTTTTTGAAAATAATAGGTCGGAAAAAGTTTATGGAATATGTTGTTCTGCGATGATCTTAATTGCATATGACCTTCCAGTGGTGCAAGGATTCTACTCTTGTTTTTTCTTATTAGCATGTTTGCTAAATGCTTGCAGATAGATTATATCAAAACTATATTGAATCTCGTTTACTTTCACCTATTGCTTCTGGCACATCAGGACATACTCATGCGCCTAGTTTAGGGTAAGAATCTGTATCTTACCTTGAAAGTTGAAAGAATTGCAAAGGCAAGAACTGTTGGTTTTGTGCCAAATATTCTGTGCATTTTCACTTTCTTGTGCACTAAATTCGTAAATTATGTTTGAATTGTAAAATTTTTTAAAGTTTTTTTTCTGGCACTGAAATGTATTTTTTTGATTGTTTTACATGTTGTTTCACTTTTCTTATTCACATTTTTCGATTAAATGTTTTTTTTGTAGATTTTTGTGTTATTAATTTCGGTGACCAGCTTAATCTTTGTTGTTATTTTTTTGTGTAAAATAAATATACGGCAAGTCTTGTAATAGTTTTACTTTAAAGACTTGATGACAGATTTTGAATACTGCCGTTCTGTCACGCCTGCTTTGTGACCATGGCTCGTTTTTATTGACATCGGACTATCAATTGTCAGCTTGTAATAAACTGGAAAATTGTCGTTCATGATGACTAGCCGGCGAAGGTTAATAAAAAACAACTACGTTGTTCATGAAGACATGTTTCTAGACCTACTTTGTGTTAATACTAGAACAGTGTTATAGTGGTAGAGTAGGATTCTTCGCTTCCCGGGATCGGAGAACTCGAGAAAACATAGTCATGTAGCGAACCTCTATCTTGTTATAAATTGAATGTGAAACGTGGTGCGGCGCATCGTGCTGAGCTTTAGCCATCGTGCCTCTGATTACCCTCCATGGGGGATAGGTGTGCGGGAGGATTACTGAACTCCTCGCCGCCGTAGGGTGGTGCACGTAACCGCCGGTCGGCTCCTCCACCAAGTCCGTGCATCTAACAACAAATAACAGGCCGTTGCTCGCCATATGGATAAATCGTTTTATCGACTTTCCTCCCCTCTGGGATACATATGTCTATCCTAAACGTCCATCGGTAAACCAATTCTTATGTGTGAGTGAGTGTGACCGACCAGCGGTCACGCTAAAGAGCCTACGACGGTAAGGACTCTAGACTAGAGCGATTCTATCGCGTTTAATCTTGGGTGGCCAAAAAGACTCGAGTTTGACTGCAGGATCGAAGAATGTAAACAACCTCGCCATGCCTGAATAGAATTTTAATTAGATCCAAATAATCTTCTTTAAGAACCCGGTTTTCTCATTTTATAAAACCATGTAGAACCATGTTTATGGTACCCTATTACCTGTTAGTAAGGATGCTAAGTATGATTACTTATAAGTATTCGATTCTTATCCGATTACCGGTACTAAATTTTCGATTCTCGATTCCTCCACCATCAAGTCCATGCTTCCGAAAACAAATACCTAACTAATCCCGTACCCGACATGGACGAGAGGCCGGGGTTCGCCATATGGTTAAGTCGTCTTATCGGCTTTCTTCTCCGGGATAAATGTGTAAATACTATCCTATCCTAATTGCCTTCCGTATGTATATGATGCTAGAAAGTCCGAGGCCACGATACATTCCCTCACGTTACCTTGTCCAAACCATCTCCAGTTAATAATGATGATGATGATTACGACAGCATGCCTTTGTAGTTTGTACCACTAAGCAAGTTCTGTTTCCATCAGCCACGACAGCAAGCCCACTAAGCAAGTTCCGTTTCCATCAGCTTTCTTGAAATCTCTTTATTGCTAGAGCTTCAAAATTAACTAAGTCACTCAGAACATCAATATGACTTGATAGATTAAATGCGACATAAAATAATCAATAAGCTATATATATATAACTGCGCTAGGAGATGAGTAACTAGAATTCCTTTTCTGAGAATTTGCTCATTACAAGGTCACGTGCGCTCACTCAGAGGTTTTACGAATGGCCACTAAAACGCCAATGGCTAATGAAAACATACAAAATCATGGTGGTGCGTATTACTTTACTAGATATGTAATCAGGGCTGGATTACGCATAAAACAATATAAGCACGTGCTTATGGCATTAAGAAAAAGAGGGCAAAAATCCACAGAAGAATCTTCGAATGTGCCTCAGTGTTGTTAAATGGGGAAATTCGATTTGATCAGGCGACCCAATATTTGCCCGGTTGGAATAAATTTGTGCATATTCTTCGTTCCCAAGTATCAACTTTAACCTCTGTTTATAGGCATGAGAACTATTTTAATAAATGCGCTTCTCATAATTCTCCGACCATAATTCTGTAAACAAATCACAGGTCACGCATCGTCGCACTGTTAGGTCAGGGTGCTACTAACTTCACAGTGAATGCTCAACTTTACCAGCATGAGGTACCGATGCGCACGAGGCACGTTGCCACATCCGTCAGCCTTTTTTGACGATGTTTTTTAGAATTCAGGTAGACAAATGCAAAAATGCCTTTTCGGAAGCAAGAATATGGGAATGAAAAAACTACAGCAAAATGTAAAAATACCTTCGAATGGCTCTTAAGAAAAAGTCCGTATGTTTGATTAAAATCTGGCATATTCAAATGTTATACCAGCAATCACAAAAATGGTAAGTACAACATAAATATCTCTCTTAGTTATTCTTTTTTCCATAAAAAAACTTATTTTATAACATAATCCCGAAGGTCGCACATCGTTACCGTGGAGTCTCAGAACACCGAGAACTCAGACCGTCCGGAGTTACTGAATAAAAAAGTGTTAATCTTTAATTGAAACAAAATATAACAGCTAAATTTTGGCGTTAAATATCGGGTCCCATGGGTATCACTATGGATATCTACAAAATATAATTAATTGCTTTCTGGAGACTTCTTTCATCTTTGAGTACTAACATTTGAAATATTTTGGTCCAGTAGTCGCAAAGTAGAGCAATTATTTTTCTACAAGAACCAACAGTAATTTCGCAAAACCATCCTCTACACTTTGTGTTCAATACCCAATAAAATTTGTAACATAAGATATATATATATATATTATTTATTTATAACAGACCGACTTTGGAAAAGTTGAAGTTTTTATAAAAAAATGTGCCAATTTTATTGGCCGGTGGTACTGAATCAACTTGAAAACACACGTAATATTATCTGTTTGTGAAATAGTTTTTAACAAAAGGGGCTTTGGGTTTTCAAATTCGCCGGCACGTCTATTCTCATCACATACGCCCACGTATCACGCAACGTAAGTCGGCAGGTAGATCGTTAGCTCAGCCGAGTGTGACCCTTGCTATTTATTACTTATCACCGTAAAACTCACGTGCTTAAGTAAATTGTCGTTATGGTAAAAGATGCTGAATAAATCTCGAGTTAGACGGTCAGTACACGTTGTGATAGGAAGCAACGCAGCGGATTTGAGATGAATGAATTTGATGTTGCCAGTTCTTCAGCGAAATAAGGTATGTATATCAATTCGATTATGCTCTTCGCAACCTCCATCGTACTCTGAGCTTGTTATCATTGGTTGATAGAACGCAATCGAAGGTTTATTTGGGAATTACCATTTCCTTACCCGAGATAAATAAATCATACTGTAAGGGATTTCAATATCGAAAGTAAAGTTTTGGTTTATTACGTATATGAAAATACCACGCAAGCATGTGGCGTTGAAGACCCTGGTTAGACACAAGCGCGATTGTGAAGGTAAACGTGGTTAGGCAGAAGGTAATTGCAAACAAATGCTTTTGTTTTTGACTTTTGTAGCAATTAAACCATACTGCGACAAGACCACATTAAATGTCATGATGATGATGTTTAGCACTGTTCATTTCCTAGGCGCCACATGTAGCGCCCTACTTCTGCCCTTCTCATGGTCTGAAGCAAAAAAGGAACAACCAAATTGTTCATAAGATTGTTGAACTGATGTGTGGGGGTGGCGTAAGAGGTGAATTTTCTAGTTTTTCTCAAAATGCAGAAAATATGGTTTTGATAGAATATTAAATTGGCATAAGAACTATAATTTACATTCTACGCAAACAATATTTTGTTGAAATGAAAATTGGGTATCATCTGAATTTGCTAAACAACGTTATTTTCTCTTTAATAACTTAACCTTACCTACATAAAACTGCTCTTAAGACGTTTTTTCTAGGTGCGTAAAACTGAATCCGTTAAAATTTGACATTTTTTTCATCATTATACCCTTAGTCTGTCGATAATTTTTGTTTTTGCATAACGAGATGTTGAAACATGGTAGTCTTTTGGGAACGTAGTACGTAGTATGTGTACCAGGTTAGGGTTGGACCATAATTTCAGGTATATACAAGTACTACGGGAGTCACTTGGCTAGTCCCCGAACTCTTCATATAACTAAAATAAGGAAAATTGGAATAAAATCATGGTCTAACTTTAACCTGTTCACATACTAAGTTCCGGTGTCCGCCATCTTGGTTCACATACTTCGGGAGTACCGTCTTTTGCCTGCGATTTCAAAATAATATATTGCAGACGATAAAGTGTGGTGTTTGCTCTTCAATGGAGTATCCGTCACGCTCAACGAAAATAGCGCGCCAAAATTGTAAAGAATGATATAAACGTTATATTTCGGATAAAGAAAACTATAATTTCAACCCCACTGAAGATGGTCTGTATAGGTGGAATTCATTTCTCCCCAACGAATAAAGCTAGGAATTAATATTTAACTAGGCTTGGCGCGCAAACAATAAAACCGACTACATTTTATCTTTAGAAACTGACGAGACACATGCGCTGTATAGTTTTAGTGATGTTACATTGATCGGAATATATATAATATTGCGGGCAAAAGACACCACAACACCGTTATTTCTTATGATAAAAAAGCTTGAAAGAACTCTTTTTCAAAAGAAATCAATTCGTACCAGTACGTCGGTATTGGACAAAATTAATAACTTGAACTTGCGGCATGTAATTTCCGTTTTTATGAGCTATAATAACAAAATATGTTTTTACGTAATATTAGGCATAAAGGACGAACATGATGTTTTAGCTTCTGAGAGTTGTCAAATTTTTTTTTAATTTACTGACTTTTTGGTTCATATAAGGAGGCGATCTAATTTTTTTTTTGAATTGGCCTATTCAGCGTTGCAAAGTAAAATTGACTTTAAGTTCCATTCCTATGAATTTGTCCCATTCAAACCGCCTGTGAAAGAAACGTGACTGATGTAATCATCATCTTTTTTGCGTTCGGCCAACCCGGACTCGAAGCCGTCTTAGGCAAATACTGGCTTTTGTGCTGAATATTAGATATGTTAAAATCGTTTGACCCACACTCGACACTAAATAAATAACTAGCAAATCATTGATGGAGTGAGATACGTTGGTATGACAATAGTTAACCCTTTTTACAAACCATAGAGTGGGATAATACTGTTAAGTTAATATTCTGACTGTTACCGACAGACCAAAAATTTGCTGAACCCGGAGGATATAATATTTGAGT